TCCCACTAACAATGGAAGAGAGTCTCTTTGTCCCCATATCTGCGCCAGCACTGGTTGTTCTTGTTCCTTCGGATGTGTGCCAATCTCTGTGGTGTGAGATGATATCTCATTGTTGTTTTGATTTACATCTCCCTGATGATCAGTGATGTAGAGCATTTTTTCATGTGCCTTTTGGCCATTTGTATTTCTTTCTTGAGGAAGCTTCTATTCATTTCTTCACCCCATTTTTTGATGGGATTGGAGGTTTTTTTTCTTCTACAATTCTACTAGTGTCTTGTATATCCTGGATATTAGCTACTTATCAGGTGGGTATTAGGTAAATATTTTTTCCCATTTCATGGGCTCTCTCTGTATTTGGTCACTGTTTCCTTTGAGGTGCAGAAGCTTCTTAGTTTAATGTAGTCCCATTTGTTTTTGTTTGTTTCCACTTGCTTGGTCAGTGGTATATCATCCTTAAAGCTGTTAACTTTAGTGTCATGGAGGGTTCTGCCTACATTTTCCTCCATGTACCTTTTGGTGTCAGGTCTAATATTGAGCTCTTTAATTCACTTTGATCTGACTTTTGTACCTGGCATTATATAGAGGTCAGAGTTCATATTTTTTGTACATAGCTATCCAGTTTTCCCAGCACGACTTGTTGAAGAGGCTTTTCTTGTTCTATTTCACATTTCTTGCTCCTTTATAGAAGATTAAGTGGTCATATATCTAAGAGTCTGTGACAGAATATTCAACTCTGTTCCATTGGTCTGCAGGTCTTTTTCTAGTCTAATACCATGCTGTTTGAATTACTACTGCTTTATAGTACAGTTTGAAGTTGGGGAAGGTGATGCCACCCATCTTCTTTTTCCCAAGGATTGCGTTAGCTATTCATGAGGGTTTATTGTTCCATATGAATTTCAGGAGTGTTTTGTCTATTTCTTTGAAGAATGTCATAGGTCTCCTTATAGGAACTACACTATATCTGATAGTGCTTTGGGGAGAATTGCCTTTTTTTTTCTTTAGTTTTCTTTTTTAAAAATTCTTATTAGTGAGACATCATGGGGTACAGTTGTAGGCTTACAAATTTTTGTGCTTGGGTTTCAATTATACAATGATCAAATACCCATCCCTCCACCAGTGCCCATTTCCCACCACCATGGATCCCAGTATCCGTCCCACCCCCATCCCCCCCATCCCATCCTGCCTCTGTGGCAGGGCATTCCCTTTTGTTCTCTCTCTCTTTCTCTTATTGGGCGCTGTGGTTTGCAAAAGAGGCAATGGGTGACAATCATGTTTGGTCTATAGTCTAATTTCAGCATGCTTCTCCCATCCTGGGAGGATCCTCCCAACACCCTTTATTTGGTGCTTCCTTCTCTATCTGAGCTCCCCTTTCCCCTAGAATGTGTGGTTGGCCTTCAAGCCATGGAGTAAAATTCCTGGTACTAATCTTGAGAATTGTCATTTTGATACAGTTATCCTCCCTATCCATGATCAGGGGATGCGTTTCCATTTTCTTTTGTCCTTTTTTATTTTTTGAAGTAATGTTTTGTAATTTTCTTTATATAGGTCCTTCACCTCTTTAGTTAAGCTGATTCCAAGGTACTTGATTTTTTGAGGCAATATTGTGAATGAGATTTTTTTAAATATCACTTTCTTCTCTTTCATTATTTGTATATAGGAAATCCATGGACTTTTGAGTGTTGATTCTGTGGCCTACCACTTTACTATGCAAATCTATTGTTCCTAGAAGTTTTTTTGTAGAGTCTTTAGGATTTTTCTTAGTATTATATCATCTGTAAATAGTGGTAGCTTCACCTCTTTCTTTCCTATCTGTATGCCCTTGATATCTTTTTCTTGCCTAAACTACTATGGCAAGAACTTCAGTACTATATTGAATAGGAGTGACAAGAGTGGGTACCCTTTTCTTGTCCCCGAACTTAGAGGAAGGCTTTTAGTTTCTCCCCAGTGAGAATGATGCTGGCTGTGGGTTTGTGATAGATGACTTTGCATATATTGAGGAAAGTTCCTTCAATGCCCATTTTGCTGAGAGTTTTCTTTTTTTTCTTATTATTCGTCGATTGCCTCGAGCAGGCCCCAGTAACGTCTCTTTCATCCTAGCCGTGAGATTATATTCAAGGCTATTTAGGAGAATGAGACCCATCATTGTTACTGGTATTTGGCATATTTGGTACGCCACGGGGAGTTTGCCAGACTCTGCCCTGTGGGCAGGCTACATTCGATAGCCTGCAAGTTTGTCCAAAATAGGAATGAGACAATAAGATGTCATAAAAAAAGTTCTGATAAGAACTTAACGTTTTTATTTTATTTATTTATTTTTAAATTTTTATTAGTGAAACACCACGAGGTACAGTTGTAGACTTACAGATTTTTGTGCTTGGGTTTCAGTTATACAATGATTGAGTACCCATCCTTTCACTGGTGCCTATTCCCCACCTCCAATGCTCCCAGCATCCCTCCCACCCTCCCAACCCCCCATCCCACCCCATCCCTGTGGCAGGGCATTCCCTTTTGTTCTCTCTCTCCTTTTGGGTGCTGTAGTTTGCAAAGGAAGCATTGAGTAACTATCATGGTCTATAGTCTATAGTCTATTTTCAGCATGTGTCTCCCATCCTGGGGGGGGGGGGTCCACCTACACCCTTTACTTGGTGCTCCCCTCTCTATCTGAGCTGCCTTTTCCCTCAGCATGTGAGGCTGGCCTCCAAGTCATGGAGTGAACCTCCTGGTACTTATCTCGGGTGTCATTCTTGGGTGTTAGTCTCCAAATTTGTTACTTTATATTCCCCAGATGAATGCAATCTTTCTATGTCTGTCCCTCTCTTTCTGACTCATTTTGCTTAGCATGACACTTTCCATATAGTACCACTTGTATGTAAATTTTATGACTTCATCTTTTCTAACAGCTGCATAGTACTCCATTATGTAGATGTGCCAAAGTTTCTTTAATCAGTCATCTGTTCTCGGGCACTCGGTTTTTTTTCCCCAGATTTTGGCTATTGTGAGTAGTGCAGCAATGAACACAGAAGTGCAGATGTCATTTCGACTGTACTTTTTTGCCTCTCCAGGATATATTCCCAGGAGAGGTATTGCTGGGTCAAGTGAGAGGACAATTTATAATTTTTTGAGAATTGTCCATACTGTTTTCCAAAAGGGCTGAACCAGTCGGCATTCCCACCAGCAGTGAAGGAGAGTCCCTTTCTCACTACATCCACGCCAACACTGGTTGCTTTTGTTCTTTTGGATGTGGGCCAGTCTCTGTGGTGTGAGATGATATTTCTTTGCTGTTTTGATCTGTATCTCCCTGATGATTAGTGATGTAGAGCATTTTCTCAAGTGTCTTTTAGCCATTCGGATTTCTTCTTTGGGAAAGTTTCTGTTCATTTCATCACCCCATTTTTTGATGGGGTTAGATGTTTTCTTCTTGTAGAGTTCAACCAGTGCTTTGTATGTCCTTGATATCAACCCTTTATCAGATGGGTGTTGGATAAATATCCTTTCCCATTCCGTAGATTGTCTTTGTATTCTGGTTATTGTATCTTTTGAGGTGCAGAAGCTTCTTAATTTAAGATAGTCCTATTTGTTTATCTCTGTTTCCGCTTGGCTGGTCAGTGGAGTGTCATCTTTGAAGACACCATTAGCCTCAATACCCTGTAGAGTTTTGCTGACCTTGTCTTCAATGTATCTTATGGATTTTGACCTGATGTTGAGATCTTTAATCCATTTTTTTTTTTTGCTTTTTGGGTCACACCTGGCGATGTTCAGGGGTTACTCCTGGCTCATGCACTCAGGAATCACTCCTGGCAGTGCTTGGGGGACCATATGGGATGCTGGGAATCGAACCTGTGTCGGCCATGTTGGCTGCGTGCAAGGCAAATGCCCTACCCGCTGTGCTATTGCTCCAGACCCCTCTTTAATCCATTTGATCTGACTTTTATGCATGGTGTTAGGTCGAGGTCTAAGACCTTTTTTTTTTTTTTTTTTTGCGTGTGGTTGTACAGTTATACCAGCACCATTTGTTGAAGAGGCTTTCCTTGTTCCACTTCACATTTCTTGCCCCCTTATCAAAGATTAGATGTTCTTACATTTGGGATATTCCACCCTGTTCCATTGGTCTGCTGCCTTGGCTTTGTTCCAGTACCATGCTGTTTTAATTATTACCGCTTTGTAGTAGAGTTTGAGGTTGGGGAGGGTAATGCCTCCTCATGTCTTTTTCCCAAGAATTGCTTTAACTATTTGTGGGCATTTCTTGTTCCATATGTATTTCAGGAGTGCTTGATTGCTGAGAGTTTTCATTATAAACAGGTGCTGAATCTTGTCAAGTGCTTTCTCTGTGTTTTCTTAGTAAATTTAATTGTTACTTATTTCTTGTGTTTTGAATATAAGATCTTTATATAAATGTGGTTTGAAAATTTTCTGCCATTCTTTTACTAACTTTTGTTTTTCTGAACAGTATCTTTTAGAAAGTAAAAGATTTTTTATAAGTCTAATTTGTCCATTTTTTTCCTTTTCTGCTTTATGGTTTTGTGTGTATGTGTGTGTTTTAAAGAAACCATTGCCTATCACAGATTACAAAATGGTTTTCCTGTAAGAGTGATAGTATTTTTTTACTTTGGTGTGTAATTCCTGGGCTTTATTTTGCCTTCTTTGGGGTGCTAAGGGCTCCTTGGTCTACTCACAGTGATGCTATGAAAGGGATGTCGTGCAAAGATTAGACCCAGGAAGTTGTGTGTGCTAGGCATCCATTCAGCTTCTGTGATCCATTTTGAGATCATTTTTGAGTATGGTATAAAGATAATCCCTCTTTTAAAAATGTTGCTGTTAATATTGTTCTTTTGGGGCCACACCTAGTGATGTCCAGGGTCATCACTTGTGTTGGGGTGAAGAGAACAAATTCTGTGCCAGGAATTGAACCAAGGTTAGTGACATGCAAGATGGGTGCCTTAACCTCTGTACTACCTATCTCTCCATCTCCTTTCTCTAGACTGTTGTTTCTGTTTTCTTAGGTTGTCTCTGAAGTTTATTGATGCTGAAAATCCTAAAGGCTTAGATCTAAGGTAGGTATGTACGCCACTGTGGAGTGTCATAGGAATACCTTTGGATTCCCTAGACTCAGCTCTTCAGATTAGCTCCGTATCATTTTTCATTCAGCATGTAAGTATTAGAGCCTGCTCTGGGCCAAGTCCTGTACACATGAAATGCCACTTCACTCAGCAGTCAGCATGTTATGATGGGACCCTACCTATGGTAAAGTTTTGTTCTTTAATTTTGTGGGTGGAGACCTCCCAGTTTATGCTCATGGGGCCTTGGGTAAACTCCCAGTGACATTTGACAAACCAATCTGAATGATTCTGTGCATGGGCTGGGAGTGCTGGGACCAGTGTTTTGTGTCCCATAATTTTTCTCCCTCTATTAGGACACATGAACACATGAATGGGAGAATATGATACCTTTTCCCTCCGAGCTAAGGATAAAATATATTTAAAACTCCAACCACTGAGGCTCTGGTTTGAAGCTGTTTTCTCCATAGCTCTCTGCAATAAACCACTGATCATTTAACAATAATGAAAAAGTTTGTTAGCCACATTCCCCAACAGACAAAACAGGACTGCATTTTTCTATCTTTATGTAAGGAAGGATACACCTGCCAGCAGAGGGGTTTATTCAATCATGTAGAAACTACTCTGCTTCTGTGTTGGGAATTTGAAGGCATTACATTTTTTCTTATAAAAATATAATGCTTCCCTTCCTATAGGACCAATCTTTTCGTGCGGACAATCATCTGATTCTTTTACATTACTGAGAAAACCAGCAGGGTGTGATAAAGCCATCTTTTCTAAGTTGACTTCTATGAAAACATAAGTGAAAATATAGGATTCCCGAGAAAAGAGGCCCAGTGGCCAAGCATGTTTGAGAAAGACTCTACACCTTTGTTCTTCTTAGAACATCACGCATAAACCTGGATGTATAGCTTTCTGTGATGACATGCATTAAGAAAGATTGTTGCACTTGACAACTTTGAGAACCTGCAATCTAACCTTGAAAATGCTTCCTTAGAGCACTATGTATCGTGGGACTCTATATGATGGTCTTAATTCCAAAAATACAAGCTGTCATCGTTCAGGGAAACTGCATTAAAAAAGATTAAAAAAGAAACAGAATACCAAACACATATACATGTTTGTATATGGGAGTGTCTCTGATCCCTTTCCTCCTGAAAATATCTTTATTATGCTTTGTGATGATAAAGGTATGGGTCAGATACTTTCAGAACCTGTTTACATTTCCTTGGATATTTCCATTTGAGATAAGCATAGTTGACCAGCTCATTTTCAACAGTGTTTTCTTGCTTAAATGCTTTCTCTGTCCAAAGGGACCACAGTTTGCCAGCCCTACCCCAGCAGTCTTCAGCCAAGAACTGAAAGAATCCTGACTCTCTCAGGTCAGAGAACACAGGCCTGCCCTCCATGTGGCTCCCAGGCTTTCCCAGAGTCATCAACTTCCACTTCTTGCTGCGGACATTTGCTTAATTCTCTGCCCTTTGGGGTTGCTTTCTCTTCCTCTGTTATTTATCCTCTCCCTGCTTTATATATTCTGAATGACCAAATTCCAACATAAATTTTGGCTCATCTCTCCAAATACTTCTTGTCTTCACATCATTGACTCAGGGTCTGCTTCTGCAGGAACCCAAACTAAGACAAAGCTGTATAGTTTTATTGGAAGTGGAAAAAAAACCCAGGAAAGACTAAGTCATAAAATAGGACAATAAAAATCACCTATAATCCAGTGACCCTTATAGTCTGTATTAATATTTTGGCCTCTATATTTCTAGTATTTTCCCCCTTGTACCTGCCAGTTTCACCTCCTCCAAAAATTGGTGGTGCTTCTAGGGTCATTCTGTTTCAGTGCTAAGAGGTCAATCTTGAAAGTATTCAGTGTTCATGCAGTACTGGGGATCATGCTTAGTGATTCCATGTGCAAAGCATGTGCTTTGAGCTATCTCTCTGGTCCCATAACACTTTTTTTAAAGTAAAAGATTTGATGACATAATATGTATTTTAATATTTTTATAAGTAGAGAGTATGCCATTTCAAAATAGCCAAGAATAAGGGCACTGGTCTCAAAAACTGGTTTTGATTTTTAAACTTAATTAATTAATAAATTTAATTGGCTTGGGGACTACACCCATCTGTGCTCAGGATGTTCTTCTGACTCTGCACTCAGGGATCGCTCCTGGCAGGGCTCAGGGTAACCTATGGGGTGTCAGAGACCAAATCCAGGTCGTTTGCACGCAAAGAAACCCCCTAACCGCTGTACTATTGCTCCAGCTCAAACTGGTTTTGAAGCTGGGATCTAATACTTGCTCTCTGAGTGAAACTTGAACAATCTAATCCTTATGTGTATTTAATTTTTCAACTGACAAATATTGCTGGTCTGATCTATGGTAGTAGTAGTGCTTCATTCATAAAATAAAACACACAAAGAACATAAAAGTGTGTTCGACCTTAATAGTAAGTACCCTTGCTTTAATATATTATTTGGCTGATTTTATATTGATGTCCATTTAAGTTTTTTATCAACCTTTTTGCGCAATACTAGAACCAAGTGTTCATTGTAAAAAAGTCAAAATCCAAGTCTTTCCCCTTTCACAGGAGTTTGTGTTGCTCCCTGTTGGAGGTTACCCTGTCCCTTGCTTGATTCCCTTCAGCCAAGAGACTTGTTCAGAACCCGAGAATGCTGTCTCTTTCGCGTCAATTCTGCTAGCTGACGGAAGAGGGCGCGGTTGTACTGTTCACAGACGAAGTGCTGCGTCAGCAACTGCTCAAGTGCTGTGGGGGTAATACTGTTTTATAATCCCTTTCAGATTCATCCTTACCAATTATAACAAGTTGTCCATGCAGAGCTGGTTTAGTGTGCACCGAGTGGAGATTATCTTTAATAACTCAATCAAAGCAACTTTCAATGCAACTGGCATTTATGCCCCATCAAGTTACTCTTATCACTGCCAGCACGTCAGCAACCTCCAGAGATATGATGCCCTCTTGTTGCCCAGCTACACGGATGATATGTCAAGCCTGTGGGAGGTCACTTTTGTTGATTTCCAGGTAATCAGCTGAAACTCCAGTGCACCTGTGTATGTGGTGCTGACAAAACCCAATTATTTGCCTGAAAATACTTGCCACAAAACTGTTCCAGGAAAAGAGAAGAGTGTTACATACTTAGTGATATTAGTAGCACTGCACTGCACTGTCCTCCCATTGTTCATCATTTGCTCGAGTGGGCACCAGTACTGTCTCTATTGTGAGACTTCTTGTTACTGTTTTTGGCATATCGAATACATCAACGGTAGCTTGCCAGGCTCTGCTGTGCGGGCGTGATAGTCTCCGTAGCTTGCCGGGCTCTCTGAGAGGGGCAGAGGAATCGAACTGGGGTTGACCTGGTTCAGCCTTGTGCAAGGCAAATGCCCTACCCGCTGTGCTATCACTCCAGCCCAGTGATTTTAGTATTTTAAAAAATTTTCTAAAATATAAAATGACATAGAAGAGATTATTTCCTTTCCCTGGACCCTCCCCCCCACCCCCCACCCTAAGGACTTTGTGTTCGCATTTAGATTTCTGCAGTCAGGAATAATTATCAGTGAGGAATGCCAGCCCACTAAGCTGGAGGAAAGCTGTGGCATGAAGCCCAGTGACTGACGCTTCCTGCTCTGAGAGGCCCTTCTCGGGAGAGGGGTGGCCGGACAATTATTTTATTTCCGTTCAGGACTGGAGCAGTGATCCTATCAGGGCAGATAAGAAGTGCATCTGTTGTGTGAGTGACAGCTTTGGCAGTTAGTGGAGAACAGAACCGTCGGCCAGGAAGTCGAAAATATCCCAAAGATCCTCTTGAAAGTATTTGGGGAAAGGTATGGGGCCACGAGAGGGTCCTTGTCACCACCAGGATCTCAGGCCGAAAGACAGCTCCTGTTAAGTTCCTCTGTGCTGTTTACCTGGCAGGAAAGCTCCTGGCTCCCCTCAGCTTACTGAAATAAGAGGTGGAGTCTTGCATGTCCCTTTATAGGCACTTTCTAATCTTTTCCATATGTAAATGGAATTCACATATGTATGCATATTTATATGAAACATATATGTATACCATCTCCCTCTGCACTCCCCTACTCCCCCCTAATATAGAGAATTGTGGGGGTTTTATGAGCTGGGTTGGAATACTGAAGAAGCAAACCCTTTGTTCTGAGGAGGACATCTGGAGGGCTACCCCTGGCAGTGCTCAGGAGTGACCCCTAGCTGTGCTGGGGGGTACCATTTGTGATTCTGGAGATTTGATCTAGCATTGGCCACATGCAACCTTTGTACTGTTTTAACAAACCCACTTTCATCTTATTTTAGTCATTTTAATTATTATTATTATTTTTATATATCGTGGCATCTCCAGCATTGTTTGACCCTCTGGGGACTATGGCCCAGCAGTGCTCATCAATTACCAGGGCTATCCCTGGCAATGCTCTGGTCCAGTAATGCTTGGTGACCAGTGAGACTACAGTTGGCTGTGCTGGGAACAGGGATGAGAACCAGAGCTACAACCTGCAGTGCTGGGAGGGCCATCATGGCAATGCCAGGGGAAGAAAATTACATATTAGAGTCCAACAGATCTGCTCTGAAATCACTTCTTAGCCACTGGGGTCAGCTCCAACAAGTTACTCACTTTTTCAATTTCTTTTTTTATCTTTTTTCTTTTTGGGTCACACCCAGCGATGCACAGGGGTTACTCCTGGCTCTGCACTCTCCCCCTGGCGGTGCTTGGGGGACCATATGGGATGCTGGGAATTGAACCCGGGTCAGCCGCATGCAAGGAAAATGCCCTACCCGCTGTGCTATTTTTCCAGCTCCACTTTTTCAATTTCTTATCTGTCTTGATGGAAGTAAATAGTTCCCTGCCATATATGTGACAGGACTGGATTAGGCAGGATTTTCTATATCTCCTAAGCATAAATCTCCCTATGTGTTGGCATTGTGCTTTGTCTACCAAAAAAAATCCTCTATAATTACACTATTTTCCCAAGTGGTATAACTGATGAATGATAAAGCCAGAATTTGAATTCTGAACTGTCTGACTCCACAGACACTATCGCATGTTTAATTTACATATTACCATCACTATCACTATCCTCCCGTTGCTCATATTTGCTTGAGCAGGCCCAGTAACATTGTGAAATTTGTTACTCTGTTTGGCATATCAAATATGTCACGGGTAGCTTGCCAGGCTTGCCATGTGGGCGAGATACTCTCAGTAGCTTGCTGGGCTCTCCGAGAGGGGCAGAGAAATCGAACTTGGGTCGACCATGTTGACTGCATGCAAGGCAAACACCCTACCTGCTGTGCTATCGCTCGAGCCCCAATTTTTCTTGACTTTTTTAAAAGAGAAGGGCAATATGATAGAATGCAAAAACAAGAAATCATTAACACACATGATTTCAACAGAAGAATTGACAAAGTTTTGCCCCCAATTTGTTTCAGAAATTACTAATGGTGACATGGAAGTGCTATTAGAAAAATAACATTGAAAACTAGAATTCCTATACATTGCTAATGGAAATGTAAACCTGTACATCCACTTATACAATGAAAAACAGAATAGCAATTCCTCAAAAGAATTAAATATAGAATTACCATGAAATATGGCAATTTTGTTTTGAGTTGAAACCATGGACTTTGAATGGTATATATACGCCCATGTTCATAGCAGCATTATTAGCAATTGCCTAAAGGTGGCACATCCCAAATGTTGATCTGTGAGTGGACAAAACCCAGATCTAGACAACTAGGATGTAATGTAATTCATCCTTAAACAGAGAGAAAAATTTAGATACATACAACATGAGTGAACCTTGAGGACATTATGCTGAGGGAAGTGAACCAAAAAATCATAAATGTTTTTACTATTCCTCTTACATTAAGTATCTAGAGTAGTCAGAATTGGAGATAGGAGTAGAATCGGGGTTTCTAGGGCTTGGGGAAGATAAGGAGGGGAGCATTTCTGTTTAATTGATACAGAGTTTCAGCATAGATAAGAACTGTTCTGGGGAAGGATGGTGGCACTAGTTTTATAATGTGAACATATTTAATGCCACTCGACTGTATACCTGAAAATGGTAAAGACAGGTTAAGATGGTAGATTTTGTTGTATAAAGTAAAAAGCAAAAGCAAAACCAAAAGACACCAAGGAGCAAAGATGTAGGGGTTAAGAAAACCAAAGGAAGAAAAGATCATTTTGGGTGAGGTTAGTAAAAACCATCATATCCTCTCTTTTCCCTGGCTAGAAGTGACACAGAGATTTGACTCTAAAACTTTGAAACAGCTGACATAAAAAAAAAAAACAGCTCCTCAGTTTCATGTTCACGGGGTTCAGAAGACTATTGAAATTGTGCTTGTGAGGAGAGCATCTGCCCCAGCTGTGATGCAGGGCACACCAACATCCTGAACAATATCCTTACCAGATATTAAACTGATAAGAACAGATACTACACTTGATCTTAGCCCAGCAAGCTACCGAGAGTATTCGATATGCCAAACACACTAACAACAAAGTCTCCAATGGAGACGTTACTGGGCCCGCTCGAGCAAATCGACGATCAACGGGAGGGCCTTTACCTTTACCTTTACCTTATCCTTACCAGAAACTCAGCATTGTCAAGCTGAGCCTTGTTAAAACACCTGAACATAAGCTCAGGGTTGAACACAAACTCAGTCCAGGGCAGAATTGGGGAGGTGATGATGGTGGTTAAAAAATATGTACAAAAGGCTATTGTCTCCACATGCATCTTCGTTGATCTGGTGTAGTCTAGAAATGAAATAGTGTGATGTCCCATGCATGGCAAACTCAGGTGCCTTAGCTTAAAAATTCAAAGTTCTCAGGGTTGCCAGCTGGAGGCTGTGGCAAAGTTGATCATCAGCTCAAGGAGTGTTTTTTGTTCAACTCCAGCTAACTTTGCTTCATAGGAATGCAGGCCCGGTATTGCTGGTCCTCTGACGTTTCAAGAGAAGCGACAACCCTGAAATTTCCCCTTTTTGAAACAGATGGTCTCCTTTCAGTCACTTCCATTCTTTGCGTATTTGCAGGGGTGAGTTGGACCACTCCACTGTTACTCCTGGACTAGGAGGGTTATTTCTGGTGTTCTCAGGGTATCATCTGATGATATGTATCAAATTTTGGTCTCCCACATGTGAAGAGTGCACATTAGCCCTTTGAGTCACTTCCCCAGCCCAAAACTCTTTGTTTTGTTTTGTGGCCACACAAACACCTGGTGGTTCTCTAGCACTTTCTTCTGGCTCTCTGCTCAGGACACTACATCTGACGCTGCAGATCAAATCAATGTCAGCCGTGTGCAAGGCAAGCTTCTTAACCCCTGTTCTATCTCTCCCGCCCTAAACTCTGTATTTTTATGGGAAATGTTCAGGATGTCAAGAAGTATGGGACAAACAATACTCACGCATGAGCTTAATAAAGTTTTTGCAACTATTGGTGGAGAAGAAAATGGATAGTAATATTCAGACATTATTCACAGATTCTGTTTTCAACAAATCAAATGGTAAGAATTAAGTGATGATGTGATCCTGGAGTTGGCTTGACTGGAGTTATATCAATCAAGGAAGCCAACTTTTGTTACTGAGGAACTTGACTCCTCAGGAGCTAGACTGAAGAGAAGTCTATTTTGCCTCTTCATAGTAGGGGTCAGGCAAAGGGTCCCAGAAGCCTAGCCAAGAATCTCCTTTAGAAGCTATTTGGATTCATTCTAGACAACAGACTGTTGGTGAGCAAGGCCACTAAGATCACGATGGGTGATTATAATCACGTTTACATGGAACTATGCCCAAATTCCACTTAACTCATAAAAAATGAATTCTTAATAAAATACTCATGGATAATTCCATTTTCTGATGTTCCCTTTTAAAATTAACAAGGTGATTGAATGAGGTGGCATTATGTAGGTTTATGTTCTAAATGACAGCTAAATGTAGGGTTTGCATTCCACAGGAGATTGTTCTCATTTTAGAGTAGTTGTTCTGTTAACCCTGTTCCTTTCCTTTTGGCAGTGTTCTATTTTCAGGGACATTTGTCAAAATGATGTTCTCTTACTTCCAAGTAATTAGGCTACTTCAATTGCACAAAAGAGAAAGTGTTCTTTTCTGTTTTGTGGGCAGGATGCTAGGAGGGGCTGGTAGGTGGCTCCTACAAAAACAGTGCTGGATCTGTGAGGATCAGCCAAAAAGAGGAAGAAGTAATGACAGGAGAAAGATGAGACAGAACTCACCAGGAGTTCTGGAATCATAATTTGACAAGTAACTCTGAAGCCAGATGGCCTGGGTTTGGATTCTTGACATTTCTATGGCTCTAGGCAAGTTTGCTTAACTTTTCTTTGCCTCTGTTTCCTCATCTATAAAATAGGGATTGCATTAGTAGCTTACTCTTAGGCTTCTGTGAGAAATGAGGTAAGGTACTATCTGGTACATAAAGACACCTTCGATGAGTACCAACTTTTATTATTATCTCTATTTTACTTCCTTGGAACTAGAGTATTTTCCTTTAAGAGACTTCCTGCCCATAGAGTACAAGGCAGAAGAACTAAGACAAAACTATATATTTTTTTCCATTTAAACACCATAGTTTACAAAGTTGTTCATAATAAAGTGGACAAAATTAAAATTCTTTAAAACTTTTAAAAAAATTGATCAAAAAACTTTGATAAAAATTTTTATCATTTATAGTAATGATAATATTTCATGCTTCAGTGCTCTAATACTACACTCTCCATCAGAGTGTCTATTTTTTCCATTAGTCTCAGTATCACCCCACTCAACCCCTGGTACCCCACGATGGCAAACCCAGTTCTGTAGAACTGTTCTCAGGTTCTGTTGCCTTTGTCTATTTGTTATTTCCTTACTATGCTTCTTTATACCCCACATATAAGAAACATTGTTCTGGGGTTGGAGTGTTAGTACCAGCAGGCAGGGCATTTGTCTTGCATGTGGCCCACCTGGGCTCAATCCCTGGAACCCCACAGGGTCCCTTGAGGGTCTCTTGAGCCAGGAGAGTTTTCTGAGCCCAGAACCAAGTGTAAGATATGTACAATGCAGGGTGTGGCCTGTCCCTCACTCTCCCAAAAAAGAGATCATTCTGTGTCTGTCCCTCTTCTGGCTGATGTCACTCAACATGACACTCCAGATCCATCCCCGGAGTGGCACATTTCATGATTTCATCTTCTAATAGAAAACTCAATGAAATTTGTACAGTTTTAAGTTTGCTTTGAATTTTAGAGATTCCACCGCAGTTGTGGTTTGAGAAGAGCCAGAAGATCGCCGAGAATCAGATTAAAAGAGGCTCTAGAGACTTGAATTTCATGAATCTTTTAATTATGACAACTGTACCTATCCAGGATTCTGGATCTTTATTTAAAATTAAATTTCACTGTTGCCATAAGCACACTCACATTTGTTAGGTAATGTGTTCAAAGTATTTAGCAAATATAGCCACAATATCTTCCATTTAGTGAACTAAGTTAGTGTCCCCAAGCCAACTGGGAAGTAGATCTTAAGAGAGAAAGACTATGGTTTTTTTTTTTTAAGTATTTTTAAATTAAAGAGCTCTCACTGACAAAGTTATTGATAGATGAGTCTTAGGCACACAATATTCCATCACCAGTCCCACCTCGTGTATCAGACTCACCACCAGTGTCCATATGCTCCCCTCCTCTCTTCCCCCCCCCCCCCCCCCCAAAGCACATGTCACATTTCAAAGTTTTCTGGCTGTCATTTAGATCTTGTGTTTTCAGTGCTTTTGAGTCTGTGCTTTGCATCTATAGCTATACCACTCTTCCTATAACTGGTAGACCCGAGGCCCCTTGACCTGTGTTCTGCATTAGTTCCCTTTCTCATCTTCCTTCCCTCTGGATTCCTTTCTGAGAAAGATTGCATTACTTCAGCTCTTTTCCTTCTCCCGACAGATCCAAGGTTTTACCATCAGTGGGAGCCAGTTTGCCAAGGCCCGAGACTGTGCCTCTTCCTTCTCGCCAGCCATTCTGATCGGCCTGGCCATGTCCCTGATCCTTTTGTTGGTGCTGGCCTATGCCCTTCACATGCTCATCTACCTGCGGTATCTGGACCGGCACTATGACTTCATTGCCTCTCCAGCGCACTTCCCCCAGCTGAAAACTCGAGATACGGCTGAAGAGAAGGAGTTGCTGAGGAGTCAAGGAGTTGAGTGCTATGAACTGAGAAGCCAGCAGATCTGCAAGATTTATGTTTAGCAACACAGAGCCCCTCTTCCACACTGGACTTGAAAAGAAGCTGTTTCTTTTTCTGTGCCATTTGACTTAGGATTTGAGAGTCTTATTGCATGACTTGATTTAAAATCTAAAAGGAAATGCACAATGAATGGTTTTAATAGACTTGGGACAATTAGAAAGGTATCTCAGGAACCCCACAGAGATAACTAAGACTGTTACCCTAAAGCTACCTTTAAAGCAATGGGATTTGAAGCTAAAAGCATCTTTAAGGATGAAACACCACTGACCAAGCAAGTGGAAACAAACATAAACAAATGGGACTACATTAAACTAAGAAGCTTCTGCACCTCAAAGGAAACTGTGACCAAAATACCGAGAGAACCCACGAAATGGGAAAAAATATTTACCCAATACTCATCTGATAAAGGGTTAATATCCAGGATATATAAGAAAGTAGTAGAACTGTGCAAGGAAAAAACCTCTAACCCCATCAAAAAACGGGGTGAATAAATGAACAGAAATTTCCTCAAAAAAGAAATACAAATGGCCAAAAGGCATATGAAAAAATGCTTTACATCACTAATCATCAAGGAGATGCAAATCAAAACAATGAGATATCATCTCACATGCTGAAAGTAGACTATAGACCAAACCTGATTGTCACTCAATGCCTCTTTTGCAAACCACAACACCCAAAAGGAGAGAGAACAAAAGGGAATGTCCTGCCACAGAGGCAGGGTGGGATGGGAGTTGGGGGATGGGAGGGATACTGAAACCCGTGGTGGTGGAAAATGGGCACTGGTGGAGGGATGGGTATTTGATCATTGTATAATTGAAATCCAAGCACAAAAATTTGTAAGTCTACAACTGTACCTGATGGTGTTTCACTAATAAAAATTTAAAAAAAAACCCTAGAAATTGAGCTTCCATATGATCCAGCAATACCATTTCTGGGAATATATCCCGAGGGTACAAAAAAGCACAGTAGAAATGACATCTGCACCTGTATGTTCATTGCAGCACTGTTCACAGTAGCCAGAATCTGGAAACAACCCAAGTGCCCGAGAACACTTTGAAACTTCGGTACATCTACACAATGGAATACTATGCAGCTGTTAGGAAAGATGAAGTCATGAAATTTGCTTATAAATGGATAGTCATCAGAGTATCATGCTAAGTGAATTAAGTTAGAAAGAGAGGGACAGACAAAGAATGACTATACTTCTTTGTGGGATATAAAATATCATATGAGACTAACACCAAAGAACAGTAGAGACAAGGGCCAAGAAGATTGCTCCATGGTTGGAAGCCTGCCTTATGATCTGGGGGAGAGGGTAGCTGGGGTAAAGAAGGGATAACTAAGTCGATGATGTTCTAAAGATCTATCAGGAAGGAAGATGTATGCTGAAAGTAGATAAAGGACAAAATATGATAGTCTCTCATTATCTGTGTTGCAAATCATAATGCCCAGAAATAGACAGTAAAAGGGAAATTGCCATAGAGGCAGGAAGAGGGGTAGGACGGGGATAGGGGGAGGGATACTGGGGACATTGGTGGTGGAAAATGTGCACTGGTGAAGGGATGGGTGTTCTATTATTATCTGATTAAATTCAAAAAGGAAAGCTTTGTAAGTGTTGCTCACGGTGATTCAATTAAAAAAAAATAAGAAATTCATTAAAGCTGTAGTCACTAAAAAAATAAAAATAAATCAATGGGATGGTTTATGTTAGGGAGACCAAAATTAAGAACTTAAAAAACAAAGAATAATGCAATATAGAAGAAGAGAAAATGTATTTGTTCCAGCCTGCCTGTGCCAGTTTGGCCAGAACTAGAGAAATAAAAGAAATCCAAGGTTCTCTGAAAGTTTTGAATTTATAATGTTTTGTAAGATAGTTTTTATTTTGCAGAAATTGTGTACCATTTTTTTAAAGTAGTTTTTTTTTTCTCTCAAAAAACTGTTTAGGGAAAACATCTGTTGATGTGGTAGAACCCTTTAAAGGACCTTAAAATTTTGCTTTGCAATTCAGAGGCAGTGCAGTTCAACTGTGAAGTCAGATTGTCTTAACACTATTTTACCTTTTCTATCTGGGCTATGGTGCCAAAGTTTGACTCATTTGTCTGATTTAGCTCTCTGAGATACCACTCGAAATAAACAACTGAGCTAACTAAAAACAGAGTGCTTGCTATGTGAACACAGCTTCAAGGAAAATCCATGTGTTCCCTTTCCAGTGAAATAGTTTCTCTTGAAGTGTTAGAAATTCTGGACCCACCACTGACTCTTACTACCACTTTCTTCCCTTTGGATTACTCCATATTTTTTTTTTTTCAGTTCTTGTCAGATTGTCTCACTCTGCACTCTATAAGCTTTTCTAACGTAAATGCAATTTGTATGTCAAAAATAAGAATAGGGGGTATGGTGCCGCCAGCAGGTCAATCTGTACCTGTGAGGAGAGTGCATCAGCAGCCTGATGGCACTGTCAGACTTTCAGATACCCCAAAATTGCTGCTGTGACTTTGGCCAGACCCGAAAAACTGGGGCAAAGTTTACCAAGAAAGTAAACAGCCAAAAGTTAGGTATGTGGGAGACACGCCCACAAACCACCCCTCTGGCTCAGCTATATAATTGAAGCATGGCTTCTCTGGTTCCTAATCGAACTGTTTAATGGCCATGATCCCAGAGACTCAGAAACGAATCTCGGAACCCAAAGGCTTTTGGCAGAAATGCGTCCTGTTCCTGCAGTAGGTTACTGGGGCTGGGCCACTCCAGGTGGAAATAGGTTTTATGACTTGGCCTGTTCTCCTGGCGGCCCGGTGACCACCATCCTCCAGAGGCCACTGGACAGTTAGGTTTGGGCCTGCAGTGACGAGACACGCGGGGCCTCACCAGATGGGGGTGGAACTGGCCGTTTCCTCCCAATCCCAATGAGACCCCAAGTCGCTACCTACAAACAATCTCTCTGGCTCCTGATCAAGCTGATTAACGGCCATAATCCCAGAGACTCAGAAACAAATCAAAGCCCAGTGGCTTTTGGCAGAAATGCATCTGGACCGCATACAAGGTGGCAGCCGCCTCAGAGCTTATTGGAAAGCCAGGTATGAGCCGGCGGTGATGGGGCAACTGCAGTCCCGCAGTCTCATGGGAAGGGGGGGGGGGCGCGGTACTGGCTCGTCCTTCACGCCCTACCAAGGTCATGAATTGCCCCCCACAAGCAGCTCTCTGGCACGGCTATGGCTTCAGAGGTAAAAGGATTTAATCCAGAGCCCAGCAGCTTGTGGCAGAAAAGTGAATGGATCATGCGTTAAGCTACGGCGCCATGCCTCCCCGAGAGAAAAAGGGTGTTGCTCCCTTCCGCCTCCCCCCCGCCCCCCCCCCCCCCCCCCCCCGCAGCAAGGTTGCCGCTACCTCAGAGCTTATAGGAAAGCCAGGTATGAACTGGCAGTGACGAGGCAATTGCAGTCTCATGGGAAGGGAGGTGGTACTGGCACGTCCTTCACGCCCTACCGAGGTCACGAGTTGTCCCCCACAAGCGGCTCTCTGGCACGGCCATGACTCCAGAGACAAAAGGACTTAATCCAGAGCCCAGCAGCCTGAGGCAGAAAAGTGAATGGACCATGCATTAAAGTATGGCGCCATGCTTCCTAGGAGAGAAAGGGTATTGCTCCCTTCTGCCTCCCCCCCCCCCCCCCCCCGACAGCAAGGTGGCTGCCGCCTCAGAGCTTATTGGAAAGCCAGGTATGAGCTGTTGGTGATGGGGCAACTGCAGTCTCATGGGAAGGAGTATGGTACTGGCTCGTCCTTCACACCCTATTGAGGTCATGAGTTGCCCCCCACGAGCAGCTCTCTGGCACGACCATGGCTATAGAGGCAAAAGGACTTAATCCAGAGCCCAGCAGCCGCGGCAGAAAAGTGAATGGACCATGCATTAAACTACGGTGCCATGCCTCCACGGAAGGGAAAGGGTGTTGCTCCCTTCTGCCTTTTCACCCCACTAACAACAAGGTGGCCGCCTCCTCAGAGCTTATAGGAAAGCCAGGTATGAGCCAGTGGTGATGGGGCAACTGTAGTATCATGGGAAGGGGGGTGGTACCAGCTCATCCTTCACACCCTATCAAGGTCATGAGTTGCCTCCCAAGAGCAGTTCTCCGGCACAGCCATAACACCAGACGCACAGAAACCAATCTTGTAATTATCTGGCTCTTTGCAGACATCCAAAATCGCAGCCGCGTGACATTATATGATTCTCATAACCAGCTATAGAAAACAAAGTATTTCACAATGCCTTTTCAACAATTCTGATTGTTGGGGGGGGGGAAGTTCTAAACAATAATGGTGCATCTTTTGTCGAAATAATGAATGTAATCAATGTAGAGAAGAGTTAAGTAGAAATCATCTGTCTCACAGGCACTGGGAAGGATTGGAGGGGTCATATTGGGGTTCTTGGTGGTAAAAAATGAGTACCAGTGAAGGGAAAGGTGTTTGATCATTGTATGACTGAGACAAACCTGAAAGCTTAGTAACTTTTTCCACAGTGATTCAATAAATAAAGAAGAAAAAAAATAAATAAAATTATGAAAAAAAAGTAAGGTGGAGTTCATGCCCAATTCAATCAGCTAATCAGTGGCTGAATAAATAGCAGTACTCCTACATAAAAAAAAGAATAAAAGTACTTTGCATTTTTCTTACTAATTTCTGCCCATGACATTAGTTCCTACAATGATACCCCTGCACAAACTTACATTACATAGGGGAACAATGTGGAATATGGGGTCATATACAGGAAATTGGATCCTCTAAGTAACTCCGGTAGTGTGTCAATAGTCTAGTATCATATTTCATACCAAATAGTGAGTTACAGCAAATATGGGATTTCTGGTAGAGCAGTCTTATGTTGGACATTTTTTCTAATTCATTATCATTGGTCATAGGTTCAAACCATCTCAAATTCTGTGAGCTGCAAGTTCACAATAATTCATTCCTTTCTGTTTTAGTTCTAGTAATAGGTACAAAAGTTTGCAACTAAGCATCTTGATTTATATATTTAATAGTGCCAAAATGATTGCAGGGAACAGACCATAAAAAGATATTGATATTGATAACTCATTCCATTATGAAATTATGATTACATGAAATAGCTTTCATCATAGTTACTTTGAGTATTCATTGGTGGTATAAATGGATGCCGTGATAGGATTGAGGTATTTGATGGATAAACAAAATCTATAAACAACTGGGACACTTTGATAGTGAAAAGGGGTATCATTAACAATTCAAGATGAGATATAGGCATGATGGTGCCAGTAAAACCCAGATATATAGTCATCCTT